ACCACCTCCCCCACCCCCACTGCCAAAGTAGAGTGGGCAGCTAGGCAGAGGGATTAAACAGTATTTAGTGACTGTGCTGATCTTATTACAAGCCCCTTAGGGCTCCTTGGTGGTGTCTGTGTGTGGATCATGGGGGCAGGTATCTCCGCCCTGGGGCACTGAACCCTGTGGTTTCCAGTGCCTAGCCCAGCTGGCCAGTTCAGCTCCTCCTTGCTCCTTCCTAATCTTGGTCTCATAAAGCTGACAGTGACCTTGGACTCTTCCAGCTGCCCAGACTCCCAAGTCAGGACTTGTACCTGGCAACTTCAAATGGAGCTATACTGACCAGACTTGTGCCAATGACACCCTCTGCTGACTGTCCTCAAGGCTTCCAGCGTAGGGAGTAAAGGCAACCACTCTCCTGTAATGCCTCTTTTGCCTCAGATGTGTGGTCCCCTGAGTTCAGGCCCCATCATGTGTTTGTAACTCCACCAATCCTCCACCGAGGGGCTAAGACAATCTCCCTGTGGGGTCGTTGTGCTGAGCAGGAATGGAACTGAGCCGGGAATATGGACCAGGGTACTTTTGGTTGTATTCTATATAGAATGGGTGGGTTTGAGCCTGCTGTTTAGGTCTCAGAGGGGCCCCCAGTGGCCTCATCAGCTCCACTTCAGGCTCAGGGCCAAGCCAAGACTGAAGTTCTGGACAGGTTATAGGCAGTGCCGGGTGTTGGCTGTGTGCCTGGCTCCCGCCCAAGATAAAGGGACCAGCTGTGGGACAGGAACTGTTGTGCCCAGGCCAGAGAATTAATACTTGTGCAAGTGGCGCAGGAACAAACTCCCAGCCACCTGGGCTCTGAAGACGCATAGAATTCAAGGCCCCCACCTTGGGTCCCTGAGCTACCCCCATGCAGAGCGTTTTTTTCTCGAGGCGCCAGCCGATACTGTCGCTGCTGTTGCTGCTGTTGAGGCGAATCTGGGCCCAGGAACCTGCTGGAACTGCCCCCTCGACACCCCCGGTGGTCCCCGAATGCCCCGAGGCGTGCACATGTACACCGGGCGGCATGATCAACTGCTCTGCACTTGCACTGCCTGCGGTACCCGCAGGCCTGAGCTGGAGGATACGCGTGCTGCTGCTAGATCACAACCGCATGAGCACACTGCCGCCAGGAGCCTTCGCTGGGGCGGGAGCACTGCTGTGCTTGGACCTGCGAGAGAACCGGCTCCAGTCGGTGCACGCACGAGCTTTCTGGGGTCTCGGAATGCTGCAGTCGCTCGACCTGAGTGCCAACCAGCTGGAAGCGCTATCTCCGGGCACCTTCGCACCGCTGCGCGCGCTGCGGTCCCTCTCCCTAGCCGGTAACCGGTTGGCACTCCTGGAGCCTTCGGCTCTGGGCGCGCTGCCGCTATTGCGCGCACTCAGCCTGCAGGACAACTCGCTGTCGGCGCTCGCGCCAGACTTACTGGATGGCCTGCCTGCTCTCGACATGTTGAGCTTGCGTGGCAACCCCTGGGCGTGCGGCTGCGCGCTGCGTCCGCTGTGCAGCTGGCTGCGCAAGCACCCACGTCCTGCATCAGGTGAGCAGTCGGGGGCACCGGCTAGATAGTGTCTGGTGCACCTGCCGCCATCTGATTCCTCTCCTGTGTCCCGCAGAAACCGAGACCCTGCTCTGCGTGTCTCCAAGACACCAGACTCTCAGCCTCCTGACAGCCTTTCCGGACGCCGCCTTCAGGCACTGCGCTCAACCGCTGACAGTGCGAGACCTGGCGGTGGTCTATGCGCTCGGGCCCGTCTCATTCCTCGCTAGTCTGGCCACCTGCCTGGCTCTGGGCTCGGTGCTCACAGCCTGTGGTGCGCGCCGCCGCCGGCTCCGCAGCGCGGTGCGCCGCTTACCAAGGAGACCACCAGACCCCGAGACCCCAGCATCCCTGGCTGATCCTGGGAGCCCCGCAGCTGCACCTACTCAAGCCTAAGCCGGCTGCGGTGATCCTCGGCGCCCCGGCTGTACTCCGCGCTCTCGAAACTCCCCAAATCCCTGGTCCTCCCTTCACGGTCCCCTTAGGCGTCAACAATTGACAAAGACCAGAAATTTTCTGACATTCCTTTAGGCATCACCACTGAATACTGGAGTTGAGGGGATGGCTGTGCGCACCCGGCGCCCCTGGGGCATAGGGGAGCGCGTTATTGCGCGGGCCGCGCGGGAAAGGCACGCGCTTGGACATTGGGAGGGCTGATCATGTACAAAGTGGTGGGTAGGTGACATCCGAATGGGAGGTGGATGGCGCTCCCTGGTGCCCAAGGTGCGGGGCAGGGTTAAAGGTAGTCCCGAGCCGGCATCCCGGGAAGACTATCGTGGCTGCAGGCAGAAGAGAAGGCTCAGCCCTCTCGGAAGTCTGGAGAGCCCTAGGCAGCGGGGAGCCAGAGAGCACCCCTGGGAGGTGCTGCCAGCAGGGCAGTCAGGGCTGGCTCTGGGAAAGGTCAGGGCCAGCCCAGCTAACAGGGTGTGGGGAGAAGGGTCGTGGGAGGGTGGTGCAGCAGAAGGGTGGAGCTCAGGCTGCAGGGAGCAGGTGCTGGAGGAGAGGTGACCTGGCCAGCTGGGGCCATGGGCCCCCACTGTGGCTCTGGGTGCTGGCTGGAGGGAGAATGGGACTGCCAACTTTGCTCCAGACCCCTCCAACCGGGGCCACCTAGGCCCCTCACCCCACTGCTCAGTGACCCCAGGGCCCTGCCTCTGCCGGAGCGCCCTGTGGCCCTGCCCAGCCGGCTCAGCTCTGGCCCATCCTCAGCCGCTCCAGTCCGCACCTTGGTCCAGCAGGGGCTGCCCGCCAGGCAGCAGGGCGGGCGGACGGGAGGCCCAGGGTGGGCAGTCTCTGGGGCGGGTGGGCTTCCCTCAGGCCTTCCCGAGCAGCAGGACTCATCAGTGTCCTTGGCTGGGCTAACTGGGCAGGTGGGCGCCTCCGGGGGCCTCACACCACGGTGCTGACCGAGGGATCTGAGAGGTTGAGCGGGCCCGTGATATCAGTGGGATGGTACTGCTGCAAAATAGAAATACACAGACAAGGCGGCCCGTTAGCCCCGACCATCGGGGGCACGCGCGGGGCCGGGACAGGGTGGACCGGCCAGCCGGCCGACCGGCGGGCAGGCGGGCGCGGCCTGGGGGAGGCTGGGGGTGCTCCTCCCCCGACCCCGTCGTGCTCCGGGGTTCTGCGTGGGCCAGGCCGCTGTCCCGTGCGTCTGTCTGTCTGTCTGCGGGGGAGGGGCAGAGGAGGGCGGGCGGGGCGTCTCAGCTCTCCCTATGACGGGAACACAGCTGCAGCTGGCCCTCCTCCCTCTCAATAGCGCGTCGCGGCAGCACTGTGTCTTTTTGGTTTTGCAAAGCGCCGCGTCCACCCCCGGTGCTCTATAAATAAGAACCAACAATCAATACCCGCTGGCCCTGCAGGCCACCAGGGATCCCAGCCCTGAGCGCCCAGTGCTGCCCTGGCCCAGACTGGCCACAGGACAGGGGCAGAGAATCTCAGCAGCTGGACCGACCCCACCCCACCCATAGGATCCCCCCCACCCAGGCCTCCCTCTGAACAGCGCCCAGCCCCAGAGACAGGGCAGGAGCTGGGTTGCCCTCCCCCACCCAGCCCCCAGGACCCCCCCCCCCATAGGATCCCCCCCACCCAGGCCTCCCTCTGAACAGCGCCCAGCCCCAGAGACAGGGCAGGAGCTGGGTTGCCCTCCCCCACCCAGCCCCCAGTGGCAGTGCCCAGAGGTCAACCCTACAAGAGTAGGGTCAGCTCCAGATGGCCGGGGAGAACCTGTCCCTGGTGCCCAGGGAGGCTCAGGCAAAGATCCCACTGAGAGCAAGTCCCTAGAAAGGAACCATGTAGATTTCTGAGCTGTACCTGGGCCAGCTCCAGACAGGGCCCCAAGACTTGGTAACAACACTGTCTGAAAATGGCCTGCCGCCTGCAGGACTTTTGTGCTTTCCCCACTCTGGCCCCCTGGCCCGGGAAGCACTGCTTCAGTTCTTTCCCAGAAGTCTCCTCCCCCACACAGTCCCAGCCTTCAGTGCCCTCAGCTCTGCTCTATCTTCCCTTTGCCCCCTGGTGGGGACCCTGGCTCACACCTTGTAGCGCAGGTCCTGCCGACTTGCCCTGGCCTGGGTGGCAGTGGAAATTGAACTTGCACCAGCTCCCGGAGCCTCCAGTGGGTGCAGCCCACAGACCCTTACTCCTCATCCACTCTTCCTGTGTCAAGCCCCTCAGAGAGCTGAGAGGCCAGGCCTCTAGGTCCCTCTGGGAGCACCCTGGTAGTTTCAGCCTGGGACTTGGATTGTTCCTGTATCAGTCTGTGTCCTGGAGGTCTGCCTTTCCTCCTGGGCATAGGGGAGCAGCTGCAATTCCTGACTCCTCCTAAGACATCGCCCCTTCTCAGTGAAGCTGCCCATGGGTTAAGGGGGCTTCCTGGAGGCTGGAGGCTAGCTGCCCGGGACCAGGGTACCTCCAGCAAGGTGGGGACCCTTTGGGACCTTTGTTTAGAGTGTGCATTTCTGGTGCAGTGGCACACTGCCCAAGGCAGGGGATGGATTCTGACTGTGGAGGCAGAAGGTCTGATTCTGACAGTGCCCCTATGGCAGTGCCTGGGGTCTGAGGTGGGGCACAGGTCTTAGCCTCCCCTTCACTGGCTTCCCTCTGGGAACCTCAGTGTTGCTCTGGGTGCTGCAGACCAGAGCTTACAACCCTATCCTACCCATGTTTAGACCTTTTGGAGACTATGGTCACACATCCAGAAGGACACTGCTCAGCCTGGTCCCACCCCATTCCCCACCTGACAGTCCCCCTGTGACCAAGGGTCAGTTCCAATGCTAGGCCCCAGCCGTCCACCCAGATGGACCCAGGCCCGGCTCCCAGCCCCCAGCCCACACAGAGACCACATGGAAGATGCAACACACATGGCTCTGGTGAGACAGGTGAGACAGGTGTCTGGGGGGGCGGAGCCAGTGGCCAGACAGACGGACGGGATGGGACATCACGGCCACCCACTTCAGGGCCGTCGCAGGGTGGGAGTTGGGGCAGCTGGCCCCTCAGGGAGGCAAGAGAAACAGGAACGAAACAGACGTGGTGTGGCCTCCTGGCAGGGGCAACCTCGGACAGGGCCACTCTGGTTCCCAGTGTCTGGGTGGCCGAGAGAGGTGGTGAGGCTGACTGACTGACCAACAACATGACACGGCTTCCAGATGGTGTGTGGGTCATGGCATGGGGGGAGGGGTGGGCAGACTAACGCGGAGACACATGGGGAAGCTGAGGACCAGTGAGGACTGGGGGAGAGGTCTGGAGCGTTCCAGAGGACAGCACCCATATATGGGTCGATGGTGGGCAAAAAAGCTGATTTGGGGCAGAGGCACAGATGGCCAGGGTTCGAGGTGGAGGCAGGGGTGGGATGGTAAAGGAGAGGGAGACAGACATGGGGCGAGGGAGGAGTCAGAGACGCGGGACTGGGGTGCTTCCCCCTTACCGTGTCTTTGGAGGACCTACGTCTCTTGAAGCTGGAGGCCAGGGTGGAGGTGATAGCCCTAAATGTGGCTTTCTTTTTAGGGTCGGGCTCTGCTCTACCACTCTTTCTATCCTAAAATGAATATGTATAAGTGATTAGACGGCTAAGGGTGGCGGCCACACCTGCCCTTGCCTGCTCCTTGGGGGCCGCTGCCAGGCCTGGCCGGCCACTTGGGCCCTCATTCCTGCCTGCCTCCCTGTGCTGAACAGACGGACCGACAGCCGGACTTTCGAGGGTGGCCTCTTCTGCCCGGGGTTGGGCCTGTCCTTGCTTGTGCTGGGGCTGGGCTTGGGGGTCCCGCTGGCACTCTTCCTGGGAGGTCCGCCTGGCTCCCTGGCTCCTGGGTGGCCCTGGCTTACAGGCATCCTGAGGAGGAGGAGCCCCAGAGGACTGGTAGAGCTTCCCCTCAGGCCGCATCAGCCCTTCTTTTCAGAGGCTGTTGACCCCATGGGGCACACATCAGGAAGGGGCCGAAGGGGCCAAGGGCCCAAAGAGGTGTTGAGATGGAATTGGAGTGATAGAGGCAGATCCAGGGACTGGCTTGGAGTCTGATGGCTAGCATGGCCCTCAGCAGCAAGAGCAGTGGCCAGGTCCCCAGGGGACCTGTAGGGCCAAAAGCAAGAGTGGGTGGATGAGAGGTGTGGAGGCTCCCCCCCACAACCCTCACTGCAATGCCAATGTCAGCTCAGGACACAGCTCCAGGAAGACACCCAGAGAAAGAGAAGAGATGAGCGAATCAGAACCTGACCGTTGGCCTCCAATCTTCAGGCCTTCAGGTCCCCACTGGCCACCCTGTCCCCTTCCCTGGTGGGCTGTGACCATCCCACATGCAGCCTCACCCCTGCTGGCCACAAATCCTCATGGATATGGCCTGGGGCACCAGGTGGAGGCAGGTCAGCTTCATTCAGATTGGAATCACAGAGCAGGACACAGCAAGAAAAAGGGTCCCCAAAGGGTTTCAAAGGAGCTTGGACGGTGGAGGGCCAAAGGCAGCTCAGACTCACATGCTACACACAGGTGGGCCCCTGTCTTACCCTGCCTGCTTGACTTCCTATGAATTGGGTGCCAGCAGGTGACTCTGGAGACAGAGGGACCAGGCAGAAGCTTGGAGCAGGGTGCATGGCCTCCCTTGGCCCAGCTTGGCAGTGGGTGGCCGCCTACAGGCAGCCCCCTGCCTGTGCTGCCCCTGTGCCTCAGGAGCACTCACCACTGCCCCTGGCCATGGCTCCTAGCACCAGTTCTGCCCATGAGACTGAGCCAGTGCCACGGCCTGTGGGCATGGAGTAGGGCCGTGGCCTGGCGGGGCCCTTGGCGCCAGGCCTCAGAGGGTGGCCTGCCCTACCTGCAGGTTTTTCCTCCACACATTCACTGCTGCAAAGGCCAGCTGCATCTGCTTCCTGCGGGCATCCTTATGTCGCTTGTAGGCAATCTCAATGAAGATCAGGAAGATCCCGGCCACGATGCCACCAGCCACCAGCATGAAAACCCCTGTGTGCAGGACCCAGAG